AGCAGACTGCTTTCTTTCAAAACCTGCCGTATGCCATTCAGCCCCATGAAGGAGGTTCACTGCCTTGTTGCCATGGTACCCTTTCTCTAAAGAGGAAGGGAATAGTTAATTATGCAATTTAAGAAACTAAAGAGGAATGACAGAAAGAGAAATAACAGAAAGGAAGATTCTGGGTTTGTGGCAGAACTGCTGGCTGCACCAAAATACACTCTGTTTACAGGTGAAATATTTGCCCAGTGCATGCTGTATGCAGCCAGGGCTTCTCTGGCAGCGTGGATTTCAAGGAGGTGCCCTTTGCTAGGCGGCGTGCCTCTGCCATCCAGGAAATCAACCCTGTAGTCAAGTTACTGCTGTTACCTTCCCTGGTTAATGCTCCAGAGAGCCTCAGATGTATTTTCTTGGCAGAAATTTTCTCTGGATGGAGCTGGGGCAGCAATAATACATCACAGACCCATGACAAGCTCATGCTGCCTGTGGATATACAGAGGTACAGTTCAAGACTCAAGTGTTTTAAATCTCCTTGGCAGCATTTCATTGTTCCTCAGGCCTGCTAACCCCCTGCTTGCTTTCCCCAGGACCCCAGAAAATCCAGTTCATGGCACACAAGGCAGGACCAAAGAGACCGCAAGCATCAAAACTGGCAAGATCCCAGCCCCTTTAGAAGGGCTGGCATCTTCCATTTGCCAATAGCACGGGCAGGCCAGCTACAGCTTGGGCGAAACAAAGGACCGCGACAGATCTTTACCAATAATGGATCCAGACTACAGTGCTCCATGCTGGGCGAACAGGGAGAGTTGCCTCTCGCACGGCCCACTGAGCTCTGCAAGCCAGGGGGAAGGGGAAGAGTTACCCCATGCCTTGTTTCCAAATGTGTGCAGTGAGAGAAAGAGGGAAGGAAGATGATGTGAACCCATGCAGTTGTTTACTACAGATGACGAGAAGGAGATCTAGACCTCAAGCTCCCCTTCCACGTAACAAGGGCAATAATAGCACGGAGGGCTAGACAAGAGCCACGTACGGCGGTAAGAGGAAGAGAGCAGCTGAGAGGCAGTAATAATAATCCAAAATACTTCTGGGAACACAGCAGGAACGGCTGTCAAAAGACCAACATTTTAATCAACAAACTTTGTACACAAGAGGCTTCCCACTAAGGGAGTATACGTATTCCTGCTTTTACCACCAGCGTCTACAACCTGGGCTTTTAAGGCCCAGGATGGTCTCACTTCTTCAAGCTTTCCTCAACAAGTATTTCCAGGGAGGGTGGCTTTCCAGAATCTGTCACAGGAGCAACATTCAACCCAGTCCCTGTTGCATGAACTGATGTTGAAAGCTGCGTGTCTCTTCCACTCCCCTCTCACATTCGCCTGGCTTTCCGTGGGCGGCAGCCGTTGTGTGGAACCGGGGTGTTGTCGGTGATGGAGATGACCTCCAAACCTCCCATAGTCAAACCCTTGATGGCAGCCTGGAAGAACAAGACAGTAAATGACACGCTGTTATCAACACACTGAACAGCAGAGAAGGGAAAAAGCTTAGGGGAAAATAGTTTGGTCCCCTATCCGAAAATCAACTTGTTCCAATGGTTGTACTTTGTAATTATCTTAATAAGTAATTCGTATCAGAAAACCCAGAAAACCCATCTGCTCCAGTCCTTTCACCAGCATTCCCATCAATTTTCCTACTTTAGTTGGAAGAAGTCCCAAATACAGCTTTTATTCTGCCTCCAAAGTGATATTACTCTAAAATTCTAATGATTCTAGAATTTCATTACTAGGCACTTGAGTGATGAATTCTTTACATCACCTTCAGAAAACCCAAGTTAATAGGTATAGTCATGAGACCAGCCTGAACTTGAAAAACCTGGATGATGCCTGGAAAGAAAAATATGAAAAGAAGCTCTGACACCTACTTTGCGTCCTGGTCCCAGTCCTTTCACCATGACTCGTACGTGCAATACGCCCTTCCCACGTGCTTTCTGCGAAAGGAAAACTGGTTAGTGTTCTCTTTGCTATAACTACTGCTGCTCTGGCTCCCCTGGAGTCTTTCATTCCCTTTTGACCCACTATCATAGTATTCTTTAAGTAAAAATAAAGAGTAGGCAGTAATGGGTACAAAAGACAAATATGGGGATTATTGCACAAAGACACTAGGAGAAAAGGAGGCCTGGATACAGCCATGGCAGTTTCAGGAGAACTTCTGTGCTAGGCTGTCAGCTCCGCGTACAGAGAAAGCTCTAAGATCAAAGTACCTGTGACCTAAAGCCAGGGCAGAAAATGACATATCCAGGGATACGTGACTGAACTGGCAAGGGACTAACAAGGACTAACTCAAAGCTGTTTTCCCTTCTCTAATGCAGCGACTTCTCTCCTGTGATCAGTGGATTCCTTCTAGAGGGTAAATGAGAAAAGCAGGCAAGCTTTATATTTGCTGTGCAGGAGTCCACACCTTCAGTGCAAAAATTCTAGGGGCTTGCAAATTGACAATGAAAAACACCTGCTGTAAAGCATAGCCATGCTGCCACCACGTGGATGGAGCTCCTCTGGGCCTCTCGCTTTCTGTGTTCTGGTGCAATTAATGTACTAACAACTTTAATGGTTACAGAATAAATCTGGCCAAGCACAGCTATGCAGCTATTAGGAGGCTCCGATGAGCACAGATTAATAGTGAAGATGTTCTTATATTCCTCTGAGTCAACCACAATAAGCTGTTGGCCAGCAGTGGCACCAAACACCTCTGACATGAAAGGCTGGAGCGAGTTCCACCTAATTTAGGATGAGGATTTTCAGCTTAACCTTGCCTCATTCTGCTGTAATGAGGACCGTGACACAGCCAGCCTCTTCTTCTCCTGCCACCTGGACACCCACGTGGTTTTTTAGAAACAGTTACAGTAAACTGTATGCAGCTGGAAACTACACATGCAAGGACATCACCTTCTCTGACTGGAACTGCTGGCAGCAGCTCAGTTCTCCTGTGGCAGAAAGCAAATATAAAATATTCAGCCAGTAATTACAGCCGCTTCTCAGTCCCCTACAGTGCAAAAATTGAACTGCTGCTGATTCAGGGGCTACATTTCCAAAATGGCTGAGAGATGTTCACTTACAAAAAAGGAGCTATGCAAACTGGAGGTAGAAAAGGATAGGCTCCAAGTTACACTTCCCAGTCACAACCTGCACAGCTAAGTTCACAACCTGGGCATTTCTGACTGCTGTTTCAAACACACTTTGCCTGTGTGAAGATGTGCAGTGTGTCAGATGAAGCTAGGGCAACTGTCAGCAAACAGGAGTGTGCTGCTCGAGCGCTAAGGAACAGAGCTCTGGACTGCTGCCTGTGAGCGAGGCATGTACCCAGGCAGTGGGGGGAGGCAGTCAGCGATCCCCTCTGGGAGGGCGAAAACCATCAGTGCAGACTCACCGCTGCTGCCGCCATGGCTGCGGTCTGGGCCGCGATGGCAGTTCCCTTCTTGGCATTCTGGAAGCCTTCTGTGCCACAGGACGTACGGGCAAACGGCCTGTTGTCAAAGCTGACCACTTGGATGTGGGTGCTACAGAAAGAGAGGGGCAAAAGAAAGCAGCAAGCTGGAACAAAACTTTGTTCTCCAGTTTCTTCTCGCTCACCTTACTGGCGCGGCTCGCCAAAGGACTCCCATCTCCCTTCTCCAAGCCACCCTAACTCAGCACTCCCTTTCGAGGTACCCCACTTACAGGAACCCGCTGCAAAGACCTCCCAGCAGTGACCTTCTGGCCACCCTAGAGAATCTGAGCGAGGTGGCGAAACCCTTCTGGATAAGGTAGACTTTATCCAGGTACACCTCAGATACCCCTTAGCCCTTTCAGACCCACCTCTCACTGAGCATTTTACCTCTTCCGTTTATTAAAAAAATGCACAAAGCATTTCTAGAACTTGAAAGAGCCTTAAGAAACAGTAAAATACCACACTAGGGATCACTAATGAAACACAACCATTTCTCATGGAGAATATGACAATTTTTTCAACAGCTGTACAGCTGTAGTGCTAGAGCGGAGGGCTGGAAGTAACCTGCCATTAAAGCTGTCAGCATCTAATTATTCATATCAGAATGTAGTCAAAACGTGTAATAACAATCTTATTGCTGTTAAAGACACTGTAAGGACAGTTATGCTTCCTGAATGGCACTGAGGTTTGAATTCAGTATCGTCGTCTTCCCAGTCAGGAACACTACTCCCCTGGCTTTTTTCTTTTGAGCCTTTTGATCAAAACGATGACTGCCCAAAGCCCGGGGATGTTATAAGCTTTTATTTCGCATGACAGCAGGAATGGAGCAGCTCATTTGCTTACTTGTTGTACGTAGCTTTGATGTGAGCTATTGGGATCTCTTCATAGATCTTTCCATCCCATCTCATGGAGTTCCTCTGCAGGATTAAAGGGCTGAGGTGCAAAACAAGAGTTATCAGGCACTCGCTCTTTAAATTTTGTAAAGTTTTATTTCATATTAGGAAGGAAAGAAGGGATCAAGTCTCCAAAAGACACAAGCTGAGTTTGTGATTGAGTCAAGTCACTTCCCTTCCTTCCTCGGCTGAAAAACCACCGAAGGCGATAAAACCTCCCAGCAAGAGGCAAATGGCAGAGCCCGCCCGGCGCGGCCTGGCCGTCTCACCTCAGGTCGGTCGCGCTCTGGTTCTCCGCCTCCTCCGCGGCCGCCGCCTCCGCAAGGTCCTGCAGCCTCTGGGGGCCGGTGCGTAGGCCGCGGCACAGGGTGGCACCGCGGCCCCTGCGGGAAAGAAACGGCAGCGGGCGGTGAAGGATACCGGGGGCCTCCCCCGGGCGCCGGGGGCGGGCCCAGCGGGACCTCCTGTGC